GCGAGCGTCTGTTGGGTCGAAGAAAAATTAAACGTTCCACCGCGGCGTCGCGCGACTGGGCTGAGTTTATTTTACGTCTGGTTGTATTTCGTTCGCGATGCTATTGTATTATTTAATGTATACGAAAGTAATGAACGGGTTTATGATAGAAATTTTTGTTAATCTTACAGTTGATGTAAAACCGTGTGACTTTCGTGTCTATTGCCAATTGTGTACTGAATATGACATGGAATTCGAAAGAATTCATTTTTTCATAATAAGAGGTTTATAACCAGAAATATCCGTATAATAAAAGGTTAATTAATGGGAGCATGCCCTTTCAGTTTGTACTGCTTCTCTGTGTTAACTAAAAACGTGGATTCTCCTGCAAGTATAAAATTAATGCTAAATACATGCATTTATTGTCAGTAATGTAACTTTTTAGAATTATGGTATATTCATGGGAAATGTGAGGAAGCTTCGTATAAACATCTGTGTACCACATATTTATTTTGAAATTACTTTATACGCCAAGTTTCCTCTTTCAAATTCGCTCTTCGATACTTTATTTTCGTCTATTTTCTGCAACTTCCCCTAGTTTCGGCCTCTTATCACACAATCCACTTTGGTCCTATTCTTTAGAAAAGTTTTCGTTAAGGTCTGTAGCAGGAAAAAATATTGAACATCACCTACCTCATCGATCATTATAATTCTAAAATTATGATCTAATAAAGTCATTAGTATCATTACAAATGCATTAAAAAAATCCGTTAATAACACGATGCATCATACGAAAGCATCGTTTCGTTGACAGAAGCGAGCAGAACTATTTGTAATTCGCTGGCTGCAATGAAATTTATTACAAGTGTAATCTAACCGAAAAAGTGTCGCTAAAATATCCATCCTTTGATAAGCTGATGAATGGTCGAAAAGTTTCAAACGACTAACATTCCAACGGTCGGAATTTACAATTCGCGACGGTCTCCACGTTGTTTCCAGTGTGTATTTTCGGTTCTTTTTTTTTGTGAGATGTTTGCGTCTCCGTGGAACAATATTGCTCGCATTAACGGTATCGATCGCGCGAACCTATTGTCTGCTTGCCGATCTAACGTCGTTCCAGCGCAGCATAACAAGCCATAAAAACTGTATTTCACTGCCCTCGACGTTTCGCCCTAAGTTCGCTCGATACGCATCTCTTTCCCAGCCCGATGTCGCTGCAACAACCTGGAGACCTGAATTACTGTGGTTCAATTTCACGAGAAAGGATTCCTTGAGAAGGATACTAGAGAGAAAAATTAGTGGCCACTAATTAAGCTGCGTCGATTTTGCTCTGTGTGGCGAAGCGCAAGTAGTACGAGTGTATATGTATAGGGTCATACGTGACACGAAAACACGACGGGGCACCTACAACTTTGTCACTATTTCAGTGGCACTCGCGGGGCGATTCATACAAATCTCTGTGCTTTGTTCAGCTTCCTGTTTGCTTGAGCAAAAAATAGAACGAGGTGAGTTGGATTTTGTCTCACAATTAGTAGACTTATTTGCTACATGTATATATGTATGTATACAGGGTGTCCCACTTAACGTGAACAGCATAAATATGTTACTTGTTTTCGATGATAGAACGTAATGTGACAGGAAAATGTTATTTGATCGGTCAGGACAAATATTGTGATAAACAATCAAAATCTGACCTTTCTTTCTATCTTCAAAAGCAGGTGAGATACTAAAGCTGATCACGTTAGATGGGACACCCTGTATACAGTAAGTAAAGTCAAGATTACTCGGTCAATTTTAAGTAATGGAAGTAATCTTTAGAATGACAATCCTCATGAAAACATTCTTCAACAACGTTGATAAAATCACAGGTAGTTTGTATATATATTGAAGATTTCAGATTGGATGAAAAGTGAAGCATATCTAGACTGAATGGTAATAAATTATTACTAATAATGTTTTTAATATTGAAAAGTGACCGCCATTTTGCATCGAATCGTTAGCAAACACAAGTAAATGGATTTTTATAACAGCAAGATTTCAGACCGTTGTACGTTCTCAGGATGCCAATACTTCTTTCCTAGAGGAAAAGCGAACTTTCAAGTAAAAGTTTAAAGTATCGGAAGTTGTTCAGCGTTTACAAGCCGTCTTTAATGAGTTCTCGGAATCGGCCAGTGCCATTTACCGCTCCATTGATCGATCTAAAGATGTGGAACCGTAACGAGCATTATTGATTGATAAAAATTGGTACTTGTTCGTGAAGTTGACAGAATTATAAGAATTACAGAAAAATGTACGGATTGCTGAAGCAAAGAAAGTTTCCAGAATTTTCTTGAAGTTTCAGAACAGTGTCTCTTCGAACCGTTCTTTATTGTGACAAGTACAAAGTAGTGAATTAAGAATTCTGAGGTTTCTGCTATTTTGCACATCTAATTCTCATAAACTTCTACTGTTCCCTAGACTGTCCTTAATAATTGAACAATCAAGTCCTTCGTAATTGAACGAATACATTTTTCATGATTTAGAACAACTGTTTCGGATTCCCGTTTTCACCGTTATCCGGTAGCAACAAATTAAGCACTACTAGAGAGTTGCGTGCACACGTCACGTATCGTTCCACGTTATCTAAAGTTGTTTGGCCATTAGTAGATTCCATTAACGAGTCCGAAGAATTAGGTACACTCAGCTGGCGAGATATTTCATTTTCTCATTTACAAGGAAATTTCACCGACTGTATTCAGAAATGTCCGCGTCAATTGCAGCCCGCAGAACAGTAATCATAAAATTAGCGTGAATTTTACCTCCATCGACCAGGGAAACGAGCGCCAATATATTTCGATAACGCAACAGCTTCATTATGAGTAGCGATGACGAAATAAAATATTGCAACGACGAGACTAAACATCGGAATCTACCTACTATCTCTTTTCCAACGGACTGACGGATAAAAATTCGCTTCACCGAAGACGGTGACGGGACGGAGATATTAGAATCACAAAGAAATCACAAAAGTGACGGGAGCTCCGGTTCTCGCCGTTAAATATGTACAACTCACAGAAAGTATGTACTCCTTGCGGAATCCAGCGGGATTCCAAGATACCGACGAAGAAAGACCGAACCCCAGAGAGCGTTATTACTTTCAGACTACCAGTGGATCGCAGTTTCGAGCGATTCGACCAACTTTGACGATCAACGACGTCCTCGAGGATTATTTCTGAAAAGAAACCGCAGTGTTTCTAGCGATGTCGTAGAACATAATGGGACAAGGAGCTTCATAGAAGACGTCATCGAACAGGGATCTCTTTGTATGCATAGTACGGGCTGAAATTATTCGAACGACTTTAGTTTCAATGTAATAAAGTTTGATTAGTTCTACTTCTCTTACTTTTACTCTTTAATCCACCGAATTAACTTCATGGAATCCCGTGCCCTTAGTGGGACAAAGTTTACATATTCTACACACTAACTGGTATCTTTGTTTACTACGCACGAATACAATGGAAATAACGCTCGAAGTCGATCGTGTTTCGTTGTCGCGCGATCGCTCCACTATCGATAAGGAACTTCCAAACAGATGACCTAAAAAGTGAGGTCTCGCTTGAACCCGCAGCAACTATCGAACAAAACTTCCCCAAGAAAGACACTTCAAAGCCTCCCTTTCTCGAGTCCACGACCCAGATCACCTATCAATAAGCTTCCTGACCTCAAGCCAGTCTCCGGCGGCATCAAGGCAGCAACAGCTTCGAAACTACTTTGTGCAAGGTGAAAGCTTTGTCGCAAAGGATAAGCAAACAAGCTTCCTGCAGCGCGGCAAGAGAACAGCTCTCCATAAACTCCATCGGCAAACCGACTCGGGCCCTGTCAATCAGACCAACACTGGAGCCTGCAGGGGCGTCTCAAACGGGACCACATGGAAAGGATTCACAGGTTCGATTCTCCTGGACGAAATTACCGCGAAACGATCGTCGATCGGCGAGGAGGGATCGGGGGAAAAAGACGAACGAACGCGAGGGAAAGGCAATAGCAGCCTGGCAGGCAACCAGGCAGGCAGGCAGGCAGGCAGTCAGGCAAGTAGGGCACCGCGGGAGCAGGTTTTCGTTTGCGGTTGAAAGAGCTGCGAGCAAAGAGAAAAAGCCGCTCTACTCCCGACGGGTCGAGAGGGGCTGAAAATTTCGCGCAGGCGTTTCCACCACCGTCCATCGTGGCGCCTCGACGCTCCTCGACACCCCCTCGTGTATCCCAGCTCGCCGCGTTCCTCGCCCCGTCAGCCCTTCGCCTAGGAAACGGCGACTCGGCGCTGCTCGCTGCGCCTCGGTCAATCCGCGACTAGTATGGCGCTACGCGCTCCGACACGGCATCGTACGTAGCGTGGCTTGTCAATCGTCAGGCGGATCGTGCACCGTGATTAACAGTGGGGAATATTTTCGGAGAAGAAAACCGGCCGCGCGAATATCTGTTTCACTACTTAGCATTCGAGAGGTGACAAGGAAAACGAGGTCCGTGTCAGAACGGTGTTCGAACAAATTGAATGGCCGGATGAAGATAGCCTGCAGTCGACCGAGCGATTATAGTAGTAAACGGAAAGGGTATAGAAGAGCCGACCGTTTAATTGTTTTAAAAGGGGCCAGTATAGACGGGGACAGGTGAACAGGTGAAAATCGACGTGAGGGTATGGTATGTAAAACCGCGTGCAGAACCGCCGTTTCGCTGACCCGGTGAGATCGCTGAGGACGCCGGGTGGTAAGTGCTGATTGCATTGCGGTAACACGGACTATTGCGATAAGCGAAAGCACGCGCGCGCACCGCCGTTGGGCCCAGTAATAAGTGAAATGATAGTGTCGTTAGCTGCGGCTTGGAACACGAGGGCGGATGATAGTTGCGACAGGTGTACGGTCCGGCACGGGCTCTGAGGCAACGATGCAAGAGGATCGGCTAGCGCTTGGACCAGATAGGATGATAGAGGGGAGCAAACGGACCCGCACGCATCGTTAGAAAGGGGCCAAGAACGAGGGGGTGAAACTGACGCGAACAGGGGCTAGGGAAGAAGCGGTAAGAAATTTGCTGCCTCGCTCTCTTTCTCTCTGTCGCTCTCTCTTTCTCTCTCTCTCTCTCTCTCTCTCTCTCTCTCGGTGTGTGTCAACTGCACAGCTGATCGCTGATAAACATGAGTATGCGACTGCTACCGCCTCCGCCACTGCGTCACGCGTTCATACTCAATTAACAGCCGTACGAATTTCCACGTTGCGTGGACCAGCGACACTGTGTCCCCGTGTGCCGATAGAATCGGTTGGCAGGCGATCCCTTTCAAGGCTGACCGGGACAAAATGGCATGCCCCTTCTCACGGGAACGCTTCAAAGCGAGGAGCGACGAGGGAAACGGGAGTGATAATAATCGACGGAGAACCACCGGCAATGCGGGCCCCGAAGACGTCGGAAAGTCCAGACAATCCTCCTTCGAAGTGTCCTCGTTGCTGACGCGCGAGGAAATCGAGGACGCCGAAGACACGCAGACCCTGAACCTGAAGCACCTGAGAGCCGCCGTTCTCGTCTTGACCAATCCATCGGTATTGAACTCACTTTTTTCATATTCTTAATATTGTGTTTGCTTCTTAACGATTCTTCGATTTCGGGGCGAAAAACGGAAAATAATAGGTGTACATATATGTACGTTCCACGCAGTCCTTTGCGACCTCGAGACGCAAGAACCTCGTGCTTGATTTCACAGCTGGGGATTGCACGGGGAACAAGAACTTAGGGAAAGTTAGAACAGGTCAGGAACTCGAAGTTTCTCCTATCCGAGCAGGGAACAGAATATTTATGCGTCTTCCTTGTCCTACCGAAGTTCATCATCTTTCTATAAATTTTTTAGAAAAAACTACCCCGATCCAATTTCCTCGCGGTAACAACGTTTCTTTATCTTACCGATTGCGAGGCTGCACGGTAAAACCTGTGCAAATGATGAAGCCCCCCCATGACTCCTTGTCGAGTCGCCCGCCTGCGGTGATCCTCTTAGGAGGTCCTTCGGAATAAGAATCAAGAGATATCGTGTGTCCTCCCTAGGATAGAACCCCTGTGCGGTTACGCGCTTCTCTTATGCGATGTATCGATCAATGCCTGATTATACAAATTAGCAACTGTTTCTTGCAGACTGTGGTTCGATCTTTTGTCATTCCTATTCGTACTTTGGATTATCGAAGAAGGATATATAATAATAGAATAGGTTTCGAAATATAATACCAGTTTAAGAGTATTCATCTTTCTTTTTAATAATTTGACTATATCTTTCGTAGTGATCTGTAATTTCTTGATTAGAAATATTCGAATATCATGGAGGCGTTTAATTTATGAGGGTTCGATTCAATCTTACTACAATTTCGCTGCTTATCTGAGGAAACATCGAGGATCTAGAGGTAAAAAATATTCTCCCAAGTACTAATTCGTAATTTCTATGTTCCTTGAGGTCGTAGATCAGGAATATTGATAAGAAGGGTAACTTTCCTTCCCTTGGAACTGCCTTTGCAGCCAGTTATCGTCAATCATTATCCAAAGTTTCTGTGTTGTTTTATGAATTTAGATCGAATATCATATTTTTTTAAATTACTTATCATAAGTTAGTGAAAACTGAGTAGCTTCGATTATAGACCACATAAAGTTGATCAAAGATTCCATCCGTTTCGGGGGCAGAATTATTTAAACCGCAATGAATACCAAGGTATCCGGATAGCATTACTATCGTTTCATCCACGCTCGAGGATCACAATGCAATATTGTAGAGGTGGAAGTCGGTTGGATCGCCACGTAATAAAATAGCACGTATTCCCATGATAGAAATTCTATATACCATACAAACGATCACGGGATACTGAACAGCGCTCATTCCCGCAAACGCGATCATCGTCGCCGTTAAGTTCTGATTAAGGTGGGAGAAGAAAAAAAAAAAGGAAGAAAGGATCGTCAGTGGTTCGAAGTGTCCCTGTTTACGGGTTCGTCTTGTCGCGTAATGGGACAGAATAACCATAGGTGTTCCCATGCTCGTCGCGCGGCCCTGTTCGTTATTAAACGCGATAAAAATCACCGACCCCGTTCCAGCGTGAAATACGAGCAACGTTGTACAGTTGTAACACGAAAATTTGAATTCTTCCTGTGGCAAGAATTGGGTCGGAAATGCGCAATAAACGCGTGCCGCGGTTTGTTCTCTGCGGTTTTGTTCCGTCTCCCGAAAAGCACACACAGTTCGAAAGTTTCGTTCCGCGAGTCGGGGCATCGCTTAACCAAATGGAAAATGTTGTTTCTAACGGCTGTAAAAATAGTTTGAGAAATCCTTCCGCTCGCGGAAAATCTACCCAGATTGATCGATCGTTTCGCCCTCGTGATTTTGCACTTTTTCGAATCGCGGCTCGATGCGGTGGCCAACAGTGAGTGTGGTAAAAACACAGATAGAAATATGGAAAACCTATTGTTCGATCAACCGTTGTACGTTGCATTGGCTTAAAAACATAGATAACCATAAAATTATGTGACGTGACATTTTACACGTAATTCCGCGTCGTTCCAGCCAAATGAAATCGAACTACGAATATGAATATTTTCCTAGCAGTTGATACTTGATATACGATCCCGTCGCTCGAAATGTAAATCGAGGAGGAGGGTAGTGTAAGTTCGGGGTATCAAATTCGTATTAAGTGGTTGTAGCTGAAACGGTATCGGGGCAATATGCACAATTTTAGCAAACGGGACAAGTCTAATTTGAAATTCATATTACCGTGTTTGCCAGTATTATACTTCGTGCCCGAATAGACGAACCCCGGTGGATAATATAGGAATTCGTTCGTCGAGCGAATGTTAAACGTATCCACCCGCGTGTTGTTCGAGATTTTCGTTCACGAGGATCGATAACAACCCTCTATCCAGCCCCCTCTGCCCCTCTACCACGGAGGCACCAAACACGACGGATTGATGCAAAACTAATGGGAGTTCCATGATGGGAAAAAGGTGCGCGGCGTTCAAACGACAATACCCCTCTTTTTGCCCCTGCTGGGCGATTTTGTTCGAGTTTGAACGACGTCCTCGTTAAAAGCCCCCGCACCAGTTTCGCGGCGAATCTTTCAAGGCGTCCGCCCATTAATTTTCGATCAATCGTATACGATCATTAACGAGAATTACATTCTTTCGGAATTCTTGCACGAATTGCGCGCGGCTGGACGGGAATTTCAGATCATTTTGTTCCTTGTTAAATATTCTTAGATATATAGAATAGTTTAATGGTACGTTTAAATTACCACCAGGATAAATTGGGTGCACAAGAGGAACGAGGAATATTATATAAATATTTCGCTTCATCTTATCATTCATGAACGCATGTTAGTGTGTTTCTACTAACTAATTGGGAGAAAAAGAAATGAACGGATTATGTTGTTACTCGTAAAGAATTCAGTAGATTAAGATGCTATTAATGAATGCGTATAATCACTGCCACATTCTCTCGCTAATCTCTCCTTAAGTACTCGCTTTAAAGTCTCCCTTGATGCCTACCTTTACTCGGTACTCTCGGTATAGAACTATGGCTGCTCTTACGCTGCGCTGACCGTCCTTAAGATCCCTTTCACCTTTACACACCTGCATCCCCTTTCACCTTTAGTAAACAGTTCACCTACAAACGCGGACTCCCTGACACCTTCTCCATCTGTGTGTAACAAGCACTCTCTGGAAAGTTACATTTAATAACTTTCTGGTAAAAACATCTTAAATGTCCACAAACATACGAACACCTTTCTCCTTGCACTAGACTGGAATTCCTTTAAATAACGACTGAAAGAAACAGGCGAGAGTAAATAAACCAGTGATTAAAAGCAATTATACAATCCACATTAATTACAGTATTTTTAATAAAATATTTACAGTGATGTATTCGAAGGTTATTGCAAGATATAAAATAGAACCGTCGTCAAGAAATGTTGCACCAAACGATACGAGAGAACGTTTTGCAAATTCCAATATTACTGTCCCTAATCTTTTCCAAGAAATAGATACCCTTAGAATTTTGTTACCACTTCTTCAAAACTCTATATCGTCAGATCGGTATACCTTAAATCCAAAAAAGGATAAACATGTAAGACTCAAAGCGAATATGACAGTGGATCGAAGTCCACCGATTGCATATAAATTGAACGAAAAGTCTCGAGGAGGAAGAGCAAGAGGGCCGCGAAAAATGTATAACACATTTATTTCCTTTATCGAAATCCTCGAAGGCGAGTGATCTTATCGAGCGTTTCGAAAGAGGAGGCGTGGAGTAGGTTGCCACGGCCGAAAAGGGTCGAGTGCAATTAACCTAGGAAGTGGCGCGGCGGGAGGGTGTACGGTGAGATATTATTTTTGTGCTCCTTCCGGTTCCACTTTTAATTTCGTCCGCGGCGGGGAACGTCACGGGTCTTTCCTACTTCGTTTAATTTGCCGGATTTACGGGCGCGTTAATTCAATCGGTCCTCTCGTTTCGGGAAAAGTTACGACAATCTTTTCGGTCACGGAACCGTGATCCCATTATTCGCCGCGATTCCGCTCGCTGATTTCCCTCGAACTTCTCGATTTTGAACGATCAAGCATACACGCGATAGCGACAAGATTGTTCACCTCAACCTGTTCTTTTTTCTTTTTTTTTCACAGAACTCGTTCGCCGTGTGGACAGACATGAAAAATTTCGATTCGATGGACAAATTTCCTCGGTTTATTCTATGTACCGTCGACAGTAAAGTCGTACGATTGCTGGCGATATTAAACTTTTCCTCTCGCGGTTCTGTTACCATGGGAATAACTACTGATAAAGCGCTGCCACGATGGTGGACGCTTTACGCTTATCAAATGGGCATTAATGAGGTAGTGTGGATTTCAAAAGTTGCACGGAGCTATTAATCTGATCGATAAAGAGAAGCTATTCTTATCCTGTATAATAATAACCGTACCTTTATGGCACTAATTATCTTTGTAACTGCGATGAAAAATCTACCGCCGCCCGTAAGAAACGTGAAACTAGAAAGAGAGCGTATAAAACATGGCAATGCATTGTGTTAGAACATTAGTGGAGAATATTCATGTTTGAATCGGGAGAAATATTATAATGTTAATTTTGAAGCATATGTCCATTTGCATGGCAATCCGTATAATGCGCCCCATTTCCGGGCAGCGAGCAGTATGAGTCAGAAATATAAGAGAGAAACGATCACATGGTCCTGATGGAATTTATTGGTCTATTCCCACGAGAATAGATCGCGTTAAAAATTAACGGGATGTGAACGGATGGAGGGGCCGTGGATACGCGCGCTAAAAAAGTTAATGGTCCGATTGAAAGGTGCAGCGGAGAAATTGACTTGTCAATAGCACGGCCCGGTTGGTGCTTTTCGCGACGCGGTGAATTTTTCAAATGAAACTGGTCCGTTGTGCCGCGGAGAAGGACTCATCGTTGAACGAGAATTAAGTGGATTACCGTGTCTATAACAAACGGAATGTAACGTAACCATACAGAGGGAAAGAAATACCCTGGCAATTCCATTTAACGTTCAATACTGTCGAG